CCCTCACCCCAAATGTCACCTCCTCTGGAGAATGTTTCCAGACCACCTTCTTTGCGGCCCACCCATGGCATGTCACCTGCTCATGCCTCTCATAGCACTTGTCACTGTCACTATAAGAAGTTATTTTGTTCCTTTTGGTTTGTTTGTTTACTGATAATTGTATGTCTTCCCACCAGCCCATAAGCTCCATAAAGGCCAGAGCTTTATCAGCTGTTTCCTATGTTACCCTCATGCCTAGGACAGGGTCTAGCCCATTAGCGCATGCTCAGTGAATAGCTGTTAGATGGATGTAAATGAAGGAATCGCCTTCCCAATATGACTTTGAATCATTTAACCTCTTGGACTTCAGCCTCCTTGTCTATAAAATAAAGCTAACAGCACACTGGATTTTCATGGGGATAAGTTAAAGAAGTAAACATGTGGTAGCTTGCTTGACCCACAGCAGATGCAGAATGAGCACTGTTAACAGCATCCCTCCTTATTTTCCAGGAAATCTTCTGAGGAACTGGATATGGACAAGGTGACAGCAGCAATGGTTCTAACCAGCTTGTCGACCAGCCCTTTGGTTCGAAGTCCCCCGGTGCGGCCAAATGGTAAGCCTGGGCATGCACATTAGGGAAGGGCCTCTAGACACCAAGAGCAGAGCCTCACTTTGAAGAATCTCATTCCTGAAAAACACAATGAACAATTAACCCTCGCCCTTTAGTAGGAAGTAAGGGAACTGTGAAAGAAATAGAGACACCAGAGCCACCAGCCCCTCCCCTTCCCAGAGATCCTGTGCATCGCACGTCTCCATCCATCCATTCCACTCACACTTACTGAACTTCCTCACTTGCTTTCTGCCTTCTAAAACAATCTTGGCAGCACTGCTTTTCTATTTCTTTCCCCAGATAAATAAAGATGGGTCTAATGAAGTTATCTTTCCTATCTTTATTTCTGGTTTAGGGAGGTAGTTGAACAAAGAAACCTCTGATTAGAATACTTTTCTAAAAAAAATTATCCCAGACTCCTTAATCAAATAGAATGAGTTAGAAAAGCTTAATTATTTTACATGAATAATATCTATTATTCATTCCTTCAATATATATTTGTCAGTACCATGCTAGATGATTTGAATACATCATTGAAAAAGTGTCTACACTAATAGGTAATGTACAATATCTTCGGGAGTTAAAAAAAAAGACTATTGGTTGCAGTCAGACCAATGACTGGCGTTAATTGAACACTTTCTATGTGCCAAGCACTATGCTCACTTTAACTCATATAGTTCTCACGACAGCTCTGAGACGTTATTGCTGTTTTACAGGGGAGTAAACTGAGGTACAGAGGGCTTAATTGGCTTATAAATAGCAGAACAGAATTCTATTCCTTATCTTTCTGATTCCAGATCTGCTTTCTCAATCATGACATACTATTACATTATATAATTCATTATAAATCAGGGGAGCAATAGGAGTTGAAGTTGGAGAGAGGGAGGAGCATCTTTATCCTGATGGATCATGTATGCCTAGCTAGAAGTTTGGACTTTGCAGGCTATGAGAAAACTATTGAAGTGACTTCAGCAATGGAAAGTTATAGTTAGGTTTACAGGCAAAGCAAGAAAAAGTACTGCATCAGTGGCCTGGACCCTGGTGGTCACAGTGAGGATGAATGGGACCTAACTGAGAAATGTGAAGAAGATCATCAACTGGGCCTGGTGATGGACAGAGAGGATGTCAAGGTGACTTCCAGGCAGTTAGTGTGCTTCAGCAAGGAGGATCATTCCTGGAAAAGGGGAACAAAGGCAGGAATAGGGCTGTTGGTGAATGTCTGAGGTAAGGGGTGGACTAGCTAAGGACACTAGCTCTCTTTGAAACATGTTTAGTAGGCAGTGCCTGAGGATCATCCAAGGGACGATTCTGGTAGAAATGTGGGCATAGCTTGGGAAAGAGATCTGGACTGCCGGTGCAGACTTGGAAGGCAACATTTTAAGACATGAGATCACCCGGAGAGTTGTGAAGTGGAATATGATGAGCAGATGGCTAAGGGAGAAGTGGTGAAGTTTACCATCACATAAGGGATTGCAGAGGGAAAAGATCTTGAAGAGAGCCTGAGGGGTGAACAGAGAAGTAGAGGAGAACCAGGAGATAGTGGTTTCACGGAAGTCAAGAGAAAGCATGTTTCAAGAAGGGACATTTGATGTTGCAAAAGGTCAAGCATGAAAATAACTGAATTCTGCTTCAAGAGGAAAGTCACTGGTAGATTTGCAAGGGCATTCACAGAGGACTCCCCACAGGACAAAGCTGGACTGCAGTTCATTGAGCTGTAATGCAGCGAGGCCACTGAATGACACGCAACAGCAGCGAAAACCTCTCAGAACCCAGCAGAGTCAATTGCGAGATTGAACCATGCTTCATGTGCAATTTGGTTATAAGCATGAGGTGCTAAGATAAACTTGTTGAACATTCAGTGAGTCCTCACCAAAACGTACTTCAACCCCATTCTAAGTGGAAAGAATGATCAAGATGCTGAGAATCGAGATCAGCATCACTCATCAGCAGTGTCCAGCAGCGTGATTTCCCCACAAGCTGGGGTGGCACCAACTCTTCACATAGTTTACATGGCACTGGACGAGGTGCTCTTTTCTTGTTCATGTATTTGTTTTAAAGATGAGGTCTCACCATCACAGTGCTCTACCTCAGTGTCCCAGCTGGGACTACATGTGAACTCCACCACACCCGACTCTTTTTCAGATAGGATCACACGGTGTTGCCCAGGCCAGCCATGAGCTCTCCATTCCCCTGCCTCAGCCTCCCCGAGTCCCTGGGATTACAGGCATGTGCCACCACACCCTGTCTTTAGGTTGGGTCAGAAATGGAACATGGGCCTCCCTGAACAGGCTGCCTGCAGAGTACAGATCTTAGCACACACCATTGCACCTGGGCCTAGATGGGTGTTCTCGAGATGAGCCTGACCACTCCTCTTGTGAAGGTCTCTTGGCAAACAGGTATTCTGATTAGCCTTCTCAGCTTGGCAGTGCTGCTAAGGGGTTACTGTAAAAAACAAAATTGAAAGTACCCCCAAAACCTATGCTAGCAAAAAGGATTTGCAGAACTCCATGGAATCCATAGAGTACAACGAGTACATTCAAATTAACCATTAGTTTTTACCATTAGATATTTTTCATTGAGAACATTTTTAATGTTCCTCTGTATTTAAAGGTTAGAATTTAAAACATACTCCACCTTATTTTAAGGAGAGAGAACAATTGATCTGCTTGGAATTCAAATTCGCATCATGAATCAGCACTGTCCAGTAACATGGTTCCCCACAGCCTGCGGTGACACCACTACCACTACAATTGGTTCTTCAATAGAGATTTTTGTTAGCACAATATCAGAATAATTTAGTGTTCATTTATAGTTTAAAAAAATTGCTCAGCTTACATATCCACAGTCCCTGATAGCTCTCATTTAGTCAATAAGAAGAAGCAAATTCTTTGGGGTCTTTTTGGGGAGGTTTTTGCTATAGAGTACATGTGCTTGCCAGAAAAACAGAGAGAGACAGAAAGTCAGAAGTCACCCCCCCATGGGGGATGGCCATGCCACAATCCCTTCTCCTCCATTCTCCTCTCAGGATCTTGAGCACGCACGCAAATGCACCCGGCGTGAGTTTAAGCCACCGGGTCCAGGACTTGAACAATGGTTGACCACATGGGAGTTCAGCGACATAGCCATTACGCTAACTACTGGTCCTAGAAGAAGCAAATTCTTAAACAGGGGAAGTGATTTATAATAATGATGGCATTATTTGTTTGTAGGAACAAAATATATGCAGAATTGTTGTACGTCCATGAACTTTTAGAAACTGTCATGATCCTTTTCCGTGCCTGATCATTCCATCAGGATTTAGTCTGACAAGGGTGAGATTCCAGTATTACATGTCTACATTCTTGGCAAATACTTGCTTAAGATAAGGAGATGTGGCCCTCTATAAAATATTATGAATCCAGGGAACCAGCAGTTAGCATAATGGCTATGTCACTGGACTCCCACGTAGTCGACCGCGGTTCACGTCCCGGACCCGGTGACTTAAAACTCACACTGGGCGCGTGTGTGTGCGTGCCCAGGATCCCGAGAGGAGAATGGAGGAGAGGGGATTGCAGCGTGGCCATCCCCCCTGGGGGGTGATTTCTCACTTTCTGTCTCTATGTCTCTCTCTGTCTGGCGAGCGCACACGCCCTATAGCGAAAAAATCTCTCAAAAAAAAAAAATTATGAATCCAGTCCTCACTTTTTCTCTGACCATTTCTATATCACTTTGTCCTTCTGAATAAATAGGATTTCTAAGGGAAATGTCAATCACAAACCAATAAGCAAATTAACTTTTGGCATTGACATGAAGTGATGTAGCCATGCTGTAATAGGTGGTCTCAAAATAAATTCAGTTCCTCCTCCTTAGCATGATTACACATCCAGCACCAGGAACCTCTTTTTCTCATACAGGTGAGTGCTGTGGTATGTTTCTAAGCCACCTGAGCCTGCCAAGCGAGTTTCTCATACCAGGTAGTATCACCCAAAGCCTTCTAGAAGGCTCTGCTTGAAATCAAGTTTTACCAGGGGCCGGCAGGTGGCATGGTGATAGAGGGCACTAGACTCCCACCTGACTAACCACAGTTCAAGTCCCGGACCTGGCAGCTTGCTTTCTCACTTTCCCTTTCTCTCTTTTTCTCACTCTGTCCCTCTCTGGTCAAATTAAAATAAGTAAATAAAGTTAAATAAAATAATTCAAAAAAAATCTAGCTTTTCCAAATACAGCTTTCTCACTTCTAAGAGAAGACCCTGTCCAGGCTCTGTGCAGGCTGCAAGGAGTGAGATGCTAATTTGGTTTCGTTGATGCTGGCAAGGGTATTAAAACACATAAAGGACCATTTTGTTCTCAAAGAACCTTTCTATAATGAGATGGGTCACTTCTCCTATTTCAACTTAAAGCTTCACTTTTGTCATTGAACTTTCTGCTTGGCATAGTTGAGGAATATGCTGGATATCTTTAATTAGGTGAAGGTAGTTAAGAAACTTCTCTATGAATACTAGTCTGCCATTTGCCTTCACTTCATTACTAATTACACAGACGTTAACAGTATTTTTTTAATGAGGCATTTGGGGATTTTTTTTTCCTCCTTATAGTTAAAACATAGTTTTAATATATTTGAAATGCACATAAATATAGAGAATCAATTATTCAAAAAGAAAGTAGAATTTATACCAATGCTAATTAAGACTGGGTATTTTAAAAGGTAAAGCAAATCATTAATGATTAAAAGAGCACCCAGAAGACATTCTAACTGGGCAAAACTCTCTACATTAGCAAACATTCCATAATGTTTTCCGCCACAAGTAGAAGAGCAAAATCCAGCACAATCGCCTCAGTAATTATTGCCAATAAATTCTTGTCTGATTCCTGCTTTACAAGAGAGAATGGAGGCTTTTCACAGCACAGGGCCTGTGTGCACCGAAGGAAAGAAGGCCAACTGCAGGCCGGTCCCAGGGCAATCATTTAGCTTCCTGCTCCCTCCGGGTCCTCATCTGTAAAATGGGGATAGTAAGAGACAGATGCTGTGAGAAAGCTTGAGATGGTGCCAGTGAGCTCTGTAAGCTGCAAGTCACTTACAAAATGTAAGCCATTGGTACTTCTCATGAGAAGCAGTGTGGAAAATGGCTTTAGATAAAGCCAGAATCATTGTTTCTCTTAGATCTTAAACCTAAGACTATCTTCCTATCAATAGATCCTAAAAATCACAGTCCTGGTCTGACCCTATAGCACAGGAGCTAGGTTCTGAGCAGAGGAAACCGGAGCCCACGTGTCCAGCTGGGGTTCCAGTTCCAGCCCCAGTGGCTGGAAACACACTGAGCACACCGGACCCAGGATCCTGAAGGGATGAAGAGTTTGATGGGGAAAGGACTGCCACAGGACTGGCCCCATTAGGGAGTGCTCGCTCTTTCACTCTCTCTCTAGTGCACAGATACCCTCTGGCATAAAAAAGAATCATAGGGACCAGCAGTTAGTGTAATGGCTATGTCGCTGGACTCCCATGTAGTCGACTGCAGTTGGAGTCCCGGACCTGGCGATTTAAACTCGTGCCGGGCACATGTGCATGCATGCCCAAGATCCCAAGAGGAGAATGGAGGAAAAGAGATTGCGGTGTGGCCATCCTCCCAGGGGGTGATTTTTTGCTTTCTGTCTCTCTGTCTCTACCTTTCTGGCAAGTACACGCGCTCTATAGAAAAAAAAAAAAAACTCTCAAAAAAAAAACATAATCCTGTAAGAAATTGCTTTTCAAAAAACAGTTGGAATTGGGTTGGCCAAACAATTTGGAGAATCTTGAGAATGATATCCCTCTCTTAAAATTACCGCAGAGAAAAATTACCCAGAGCTCCCAAACCTAGTGAACAAGAAAATCCATTTTTCTTTTTGTCGTATAATCATCGTCATCCAAAGAGGTTACATTGCACGATATAGCACACATCGGAAGACTCAGAAAAACCTGTGGTTACAATGACTAAATATGTATAGACTAGAATGTTACTGGTGGCGTGGTGAGAGTAATAAATACATACCCAGCTGCTGCAAATTACTGGGTGGGCTGCAGGTGGTTTTTGCAGGCTGGAATCCAGGGTTGCGTTTCCCAGTCACACACACATCCCCTCCCAGTCCCCCACCCCCGGGCGCTCAGAGGTGCCGGCATTGACGGCATTGACGCTGTGTTTGTGTGCCCTGCAGAGAGCCTCAGCGGATCCTGGAAGGAGGGCGGCTGCGTGCCTTCAAGTACCAGCAGCAGCGGCTACTGGAGCTGGAGCGCCCCCAGCGACCAGTCCAACCCGTCCACGCCGTCGCCGCCGCTGTCGGCCGACAGCTTCAAACCCTTCCGCAGCCCCGCGCAGCCCGACGACGGCATCGATGAGGCCGAGGCCAGCAACCTGCTCTTTGACGAGCCCATTCCCAGGAAGAGAAAGGTTGGTGTTCGGCGCCCCATTTCCTGCGTGTTGTCGTGAACGCGCTTGCCGTCCTTTTTGAGTGGCTGGTTTGAGCTTAGAAAGTGGGTCGCCCTCCCAGCCACCCCGTCTTTTGAGAAACTGAGGCAGCCCCTTGAATGGTCCTTGAAGTTTCAAAAGACATGCAGTGTCATAATGAAAGGTAAATAAAAACGACTACAATTTTGGGATGTCTCCCCAAAGTACACATGTCCCAGCCTCTGCTGACACATTGCTAACGAAGATTTATTAGCATTGGAAAGTTTGGACTTTGAACTTGGTTTGGTATTTTGTTTCTGTTGTGTGGCTTTTAATTTTTTCATATGTAAAATACAACTAATATCCTTTTCTCTTGTCTGCTTCAGTCAGCCCCAAAGGGTTGTTCAGAAGATTATTTTCTAACTCATTTTTATACAACCAGATGTGAAATATACACGAAAGCTGACACAGGGACGTAGGTCCATATTTGCCTACTGAAAATTACATATTGACGAAGTAAAAAGTGAAAAGGGAAATCTACTTAATTTAATAAATGAATTGACTACACTTTAATCCTCACAGCACTCACCTATATGGGAAGTATTGTAGTCTCATCTTGATATGAGGAAATTGAGGACCAGGGAGGTTATACATTCAATTGACCCCTACCCTGCTAGTTAGAAAGGTCTAAAGCAAAGCCGGCAGGCGGCATGGTGGTTAAGGAGGCTGGATCCCACATGACCACTTCACCTTGGAGTCCCGACCGACCTGCTGGCCTGAGAAACACACTGAGCATGCGTGCATGCATGCCCAAAATCCTGTACGAAGAAGTGGAGAAGGGATCATGGCGTGGCCATCCCCACAGGGGTAGATTTCTCACTTTCCCTCCCTCTCTGTCTTTCTCAGGTTCTGCTAGAACCTAAAGTTCATATTCTGCTCATTCTGTTCAGGTATGTTTAGGTTATACTCACAGTCTTTGAAAAGCATTTCATTTCAAAGAATAAAGCAATACTACTGCTAAAATCTCAAAAACATTTGGGCATTATGTTTTAAATCACCATGTAAACACAAAACTGTTATTTTATATATTGATCGTGCATTTTAAATTATTAGTAACTATTCACAAACAGAAACCCAAAGGGAAGCCCTGAAAACAGCAATGAGAAGTCATTTTCTTCCCCAGTTCCTTTCTAAGAGAAAAACAAAGAGATGGCATTGATCCAACACCTTCCCGCCCTGCCTCGCTCAGCAGCACCCAGCACGTGTAGCCACGGAGATGGTACAGGCACTCTCCCTGGGAGTGTCCATGTGAATACGGGCAACTTCTTTCGTGCGGTCTCCTGTCGTCCTCAGTGGCCTGAAGAGTTGCTATTTCATACCAGCTCATTGTGCAGGGGGCCTGGACTTGTTCTGGCCCCCTGTGGGTTCCCAGGGACACGGAGTCTTCCAGGACCAGTCAGGGAAAGAAGCAGGCACTGTGTCTCTGGGTGCCTGCACACAGAACTGCAGTGTGGACCTGAAGTCCTGACCTGCTACTTCGGGCTCCCCAGACTTTCTCCCTGGGGTTATCTGTGTCCCGTTCTGACTCCCTACCAGCACAGCCCAGTGGTGTGGCAAAGACTCACTCACAAACTCCACTGCCTTTAAGGTGTATGGCTGAAAGCCCATCCCAGCCTTGTATTTCCATGAAGCCACGAGTCAGAATTCACTCTTGCATGGCACTTAGGTTGCATTGGTCCTGCTCATATCAAAGGTCTACAGGCTTCAGCTAACTTAGGGGACAGTCAGGTCACCAAAGGAAAAGAAAAAGCTTCCTGACAAAGCAGCATTTATCTGAAGGACACAGACCAACTCCACAAGATGCTGGATAGTAGGAATAAACGAGCAAACGAGAAGTGTGTTTACCCTTTTCTCTGACTTCTCCCTCTGTCCACTCTGGATTTCCCGCAGGTGATCCACCAGGATGAGCTCATAGCCATTTGTGAAACACACACACACACCAAGTTCTTGCCTTGGCCCTTTGAACTTAAAACTGCTTTGAGTACTGAAAATAGCAAGAAAGTAAAGCTATTGCTATTCCCGTTTTTATTATTTGAACCAATATTTATTGAGCATCCGTCAGGCAAATGCTTAATGCACTGAGAATAAGGCATAGCCTGTTTCTTCAAGGTGAGGAAAGTTGGGTGAGGAGAGACTGATGTGTAAAGAGGCAATATTTATGAGTGATCAATGGTATATCCACTGTGTAGTAAAACACAGTGTCTATAACAGTTACTTCAGAGCTTTTTTTTAAAAATCGTTTCAAAAGATTTCTAAAAGTTATTTGCTTAAACCAGACAATATGTTGTATGTGGTGGAACTTTCTGAGTTTGTTGTATTTCCCTCTCCATTCCTTTAGATTCATAATACCCATTTGAAACTGGGCAATTGGGATGGTCACATGTCCCACAGAGACTGTTGAGAACCTTCTCAATAATTATTTCTGAACTGAAGGTTTCAATTCAGAAGTAGGTTGCGAATCAATCGAATGAGTTGTAGGGCCCATTGGTGGCATGGTTAAGGCAGCTGGATCCCACGCGGCTGAGTACGCATTTTGAATCTGGGACCCAGTGGTTTGAAAAAGACACTGGCTGTATACATGCATGTCCAATATCCCAAGAGGAGAATGGAGGAGAAGGGATTGTGGTCTGGCCATCTCCCTGGGTGGTGCGTGCTCTCTCCCTGCCCCTCCTCATGAACACAAGTGCCATGTAGCAAACTAAAAAAAAAAAGGTTAATGAGTTGTGTATACCATTCCTTAATTAATAAGACAAAATAGAGTGAACTATACATAATAAGGTTAAGTATTGTTTCTTAATGTTTTTCTTTCCATTGTATATTTATATGTTTGTGTATATTGTACAAATGTATTTTTTTAATTGTCAGAGGGTATATGCACTCACCAGAGAGAGACAGAGAGGGAGGGAGGAAGAGGGGGAAAGAACCCCTCCAAATGGGGCATGGTCATACTGCAACCCCTTCTCCATTTCTCCGTCCTGTCAGGATTTCGGGCATGCACGCACATGTGTCCAGCATGTTTTTTATGCAACCAGGGCCAGAATTTGAACTGCAGTTGGCCATGTGGGATCTGGCTCCCTTAACTGATAGGCCATGGGACCTCTGTCCTATGTTATAAAGAGATAATATGATGTGTAGTGCATTAAGGTGCCACTCTTAGAATCAAAAAGTCTGGATCTGATGGTGGTGTGGCAGTAAAGCACAATACCCTGTGAGGCTGACTTGGATGGGAATGTTCCCAGTTCACGTCTACAGACTCGATGAGTATGACAAGCATGGGTTTGGAGCTGGCTGGGGCTGGGGGTGGACTGCAGCATCCAGACTCTGTCGGGGTGCTGTCTCTGTCACACTCTGTCTCTCTACTAATGGAAGAAATTAATAAATACACTCTTTTTTTATTTTTTTTTCTCACTTCAATTCTGCTACCCTAAGGACCTAAGAAAATCATTTCACCTCCCTGATCATGAGCTTCTTCATCTGTAAATGGGCGAACAAGTATGACCACACTTCTCTCAGGACAGTCATGAAGATTAAACGCGATCACAAGTACTAGAGTGTGCAGCATGTAATAGACATTTCAGGGCCTCTTAACAAAGGGAGAAGGGCATTCCCGATATCTGACTGGGAAGCAATGACCCTGACCTTCCTCATTGTTATGGAAACTATCATGCGTGTTCTCCCACCTCCTTCCCACACACACTCAGTCCCACCTCATGGAGATCTGTGCTCCCCGTTTGTGAAAAGGATGAGTGTGGAGTGCACTGCGTGTGTGATAAGGCATCCTCTTACTTAGTGCAGAAGAAATATTTGTGGATAATCATTATATTTGCATAGTGTGTTGCAGTTTGCAGATGTTTTTAAATGCAGCATTTCATTTCATTGTCACCAAAATCTCTGGCACATTCTTATCCCCATTTTGCAGAAGAGGCTTACTGAGCTTATGTGAATCACCCAAGGTTTGGTAGTTTCCGATGTGGTAGAGAAAACGGAACTTAGCTGAACTAGCAAGGAGGAAACTCTGGAGGGAAATTAATTCAAGGAATTCACATTTCCCTCTGCCCACAGAGGAGAATAACATGGATTGAGAATAGACACAGCTGCAGCCTGCATTATACACGGCAGGGTGGGAGCGAGTGCAGAGGGTTCAGAAAGAAATCCAGAGCAGAGGGAGGCACTCCAGGCTGCCCACTGGAGAGCTGCCTTCTACCGGAAGCATCCTTTGCTTGTAAGAGGAGCTCAGCCAAGGCAGGCAAGAATGTGAGAAGAGCATTTCTCTCCTGGCGCTGGAGGTCAGCTGACTGACTTTCTCAGGCCCAGTTTTAGCAGAATATTTCCTTCAGGATTTTAGTCAGATTGAGAGAAGTCCCGTGCTCAGAAAAACCAGGGAGTATAAACCACAACGCTGGGACTGTGAGGAGGTGCACTTCCCATCGTGACCACAAGGTGATGCAGTGACTCTAAATACAGCCACTCTGGGAGTCTGGGAGAAAAGGAATTCTGTTAAAGACTGAGAGTTGCTCATCCATTCCACAAGATCCCTAGAAAATCAAGAAGTGTGATAAGTAATTATTCATGTGCTCTTTTCTGTGCCAGATTCGGGTTTTGTACATCACAACACTGGTATGCTGGCTCCAGTACTTACGTGCTCTTAAGCAGATCCCTTGACCTCTCTGAGCCTCAGTTTCCTTATCTGTAAAACGTGGATAATGTGGCACTGTGTCAGTGTGGCTGTCATGAAGATTGCAGAGAGGACACGTGAAGACTGATACATGTTAGCTGCTGGTACTCTGCCTTCCTTTTCACTCATCTGACAACTGACCGACTGGAAAATTCAAGGAGCAGGGGTGTGGAGAGAAGGAGATCCCTTCCACGCCCCACCCTGAGTCCACACTGCTATGCCCGTGCCACGGTGGCTCAGGACACTTCTGGGCCCTTGAGCTACCCCG